TGTGTGTGTGTGTGTGTGTGTGTGTGTGTGTGTGGTCCACGCGCAAACTTGCAGGATTCGAACGAATCTCCCCGCTTCCACGGGAAGATTCATCCTCATTTTGGGAATTCACCCTCCACGAATTCGCAAAATGAGAATGAATCTTCCCGTGGAAGCGGGGAGACACACATAGATAGAAAGATAGAGAGAGAGAGAGAGAGAGAGAGAGAGAGAGAGAGAGAGAGAGAGAGCAATATTCAAATGAATCTCCCCTCTTCCACGGGAAGATTCATTCTCATTTTGCGAATTCGTGGAAGAGGGAATTCGACAAAATGGGATGAATCTTCCCGTGGAAGCGGGGAGATTCATTCGAATCTTGCAAGTGTGCGTGCGGACCAGAGAGAGAGAGAGAGAGAGAGAGAGAGAGAGAGAGAGAGAGAGAGAGAGAGAGAGAGAGACCGCGAGTTTGGCACAGCCAGAGAAAGAGAGAGCCCGCGAGTTTGGCACGTGAGTTTGACTGTGTCAAACTCACGGGGTCTCTCTCTCTCTCTCTCTCTCTCTCTCTCTCTCTCTCTCTCTCTCTCTCTCTCTCTATGGGGGGGAAATTGCACCGAGCGGGCGTTGGTTCCCCCAACCCCCGAAAATCGCGGCGCGTTAACGACCGCGACTTTTAATGGCCTTGAGGTATTATCATCGGACTAATCAACCCAGGTAAATTCAATATTGTGTCTAATCTGACATCAGGTGGCCAATTCAGCCCATGGTGGCCTTGGTTGCCCCTTTGGGGACACCGGCCAGGGGACAGCCGATAGCAGAGGGACCGAGCATCATCTGAGTGGCCAGTCGTTGTACCTCCCTGATTACCCCTCCCCCTATGAACATCAGCAGACACTGCTTTTTAATGCCAATTGGGGGGACCAACGGGCTATCTGGAGGTGGCGGGCGCCAAGCATGCCCAGGACTCGAAAGGTACATGAGGCCAACGGGGATTGAACCCAGGACCTCCTGAATGCCACTTGCGTGCCATACCAACTGAGCTAGGTCGATCGATTAATGATAATATCTCACGGCTATCGCCCTTTAACAAAAAAACAACAACAACAACAACAACAACAACAACAACAACTGGATTTCCCATATTGAGTATTTTTCTCACCGTAACGCTGCGTGGCTCCACTACTCACCACACTGGTTCACTCGCCACTTTTGATGAGAACCCAAGGCTAGGTCCCACTTGCACGAATTAAGAGATATTGACCGTAGATCACAAAGATCAACGGTCGAAATCTCCTAATTTGAGCAAGTGGGACCTTGCCCCCGAGAGGCCCCACCACCACGGAGGTCCCACCTCAACTCGGCTGTTGCAGGTGAGGAAAACCAACGCCGCCGAAGTGAGTGTTCACCACAGCCCACTCACTATGGCAAAACAAATGTCCTTCTAGCATTGCGCTGCGGTGAGTGGAACGCACCAAAACGGTGTTGTGGTAAGCCGTGAAGCGAGGCGCTATGACAACTCTACCAGGTTTTAGAAGATTCAAACTTGTAATTTATTCATTAACCAAATAGATGTGGGCAATATTGAACCATGTGGGTTGGGAGGCATGCAGTAATGTTGCATGGCCCAGTTGGTAACCACATTATTTTTTCCAACTTCGGAAAATGGTTGGGTAGAAGTTTACCCGGGTGTGAATTGAAAACCCACCTGACCACTCTAGCCCAGGCTGAGACGGTATCAGGGACCAGTTTTACTATGCCCGACAAATGGTATTGCCACCGTTGTCGGGGCAAAAACCCTGAGAAGGGTATTTGCTCCCTATTTTTACGTGTCAGAGGCAGTGTCGAGCGCATCGGTCCAGCACCGCACAAGCGGGGCGGGACCCTCTCGGCCACGTCGCGGAGGAGTTGGTATATTCCTCATCGCGAATACACATGGAGCTTCCGCAAGCCACTCCGACCTAGTGTGCCAGCCATACCTCTCGCGAGCACCTACGACAGGATAGGGCCTACGTGAGGCACGACTTACCTCCACCTTACGAGAGATGTCACCTCCTATCGGTGGGCATATCCCCGCCGAGCTACCAGTCCACAATACGAAAGCTAGTCAGTTGCAATCGCAGAAGTGGACCAGCCGAGGGTGTTTCTCGTACGCTGTAGCATACGGGGTACGCGCTTACGCCTCTATAAGAACCGTACGCGAACTGACGCCTTGGGGGACTGAGGTCCCAAGCTCGACTTGTCATCGGTCGACGAGGACGAATCCCACACACCACGAGTACACCACGCGTGCACCACTCTAAAGACATAAAACTTAGAACACGCACACACACATATACATACAGAACGACACAAAACAAACAACGCGACAAGACTCCTAGTCCTTTAGTAGCCATCCCATAACTCTCCGATGCGGAAATCGGATAGGCGTCACGCGCGAGACTTAGTATGAAACCGCGCGGACACAAAGCCTTCCCATATCGACTAGCAATGCATGAATACGCAAGCAGTCGCAATGATGGCGTACTATGTAGTGCCCATAATCAAGCGGTCCCTCGTGGATCCGAGTACCGCCTATGACACTCAAGTGTCAGACTCGAAGTATCGTGAAGGTTTACCCTTTCACGATATTGCACGGCTGAAGGAACAGTCGTGCGGCATCTCTAACCTTTAGGCTGAGTGTCCCAGTAGGTAGGCCAAATAGGCTCTGCGCGGGGGGTGATCCCTTCCATGAAGAGTTTAGGGCCTGGGGTATCCTGGACAAGGACCTCGAATCCAGGCCCAGGACCAACGTCCGACTAAGAAATCTTTAAGAAGCACTCAACAGTAAAAGGGGTTTTCTTTTTTTTCCAATCTCAATCCCAATTAAACCCTTAAGCGTAGGCCCCTCAGGCCACGCGAACACCCAACATAAGTATATACATGTATATATATCAAGGGGGAATAAGTATGTGACGATTACTTCTCACAA